GTTTCCTAACTCTGGTGAAAGGCAGAGCAGTAAAAAAAATTTTTTTTTTTTTTTTGCCACAACAATATATGTTCTCCAACTTACTTCAGGACAGCTTTTTTCTTATAATTTTCTTTTTTTTTTTTCATTTGACGTATAATGTATTATTTGTTTCAGGGGTACAGGTCTGTGATTGATCAGTCTTATATAATACACAGCGCTCACCATAGCACATATGCTCCCCAATGTCTATCACCCAGCCACCCCCCCACCCCCCTCCACTCCAGCAACCCTCAGTTTGTTTCCTGAGATTAAGAGTCTCTTCTGGTTTGTCTCCCTCTCTGGTTTCGTCTTGTTTTATTTTTCCCTCCCTTTCCCTATGATCCTCTGTCTTGTTTCTCAAATTCCACATATAAGTGAAATCATATGGTATTTGTCTTTCTCTGACTTATTTCACTTAGCATTATACCCTCTAAATCCATCCATGTTGTTGCAAATGGCAAGATTTCATTCCTTTTGATGGCTGCATAATATTCCATTGTGTATATATATATATATATATATATATATATATATATATATACTGCATCTTCTTTATCCATTCATCTGTTGATGGACATCTAGGCTCTTCCCATAGTTTGGCTATTGTGGACATTGCAGAGCAGTAAAATTTTAGAGAACAACACAGGAGCAAGCACACCTCCATGACCTTAAAAAACGGGATTTCTTACACAAGATACAAAATGCGCTCCACTCCACGGAGAAAGTCACTGAAAATTCACCTTCATTAAAAGGGAGCTACCCTTTTAATTGGTGTTACCACTTCAGAAAATATGTTGACATTACCTCACTAATTTAAACATATATATATATATATATACACATATATATATACACTTTGAACTTGAGATTTCACTCTTACATATCTACCCTTAAAAGACCTGAGTGCATCGGAAGATACATATAAGAATGTATGTAAAAACGGTTCAAATCACTAAAACTAGAAACAACCCAGATGCCCAGTTACAGTAATGTAAATATGTACAGTGGCATAAGCTCGCTGTGGAATATTCCACAGCGGTGAAAAGGAACACACCACTGCCGCCTCCGTGCACACGGGAGACTCTCAGAAGCACGCCGTGGACAAAAGCCAGTCACAAAGACTGTGTATAGTAGGATTCCATTTATATGAAGCTCAAAAAAATGGGCACAACTAAAAAGACATCCAGATGCATGCAGGTCATATTTTGTTGATTCTAAAATACACTTTTCACATTCTAATCTCCCTAAACGGGGGGGCGGGGGGGATGCCTCTTATAAGCAGCTGCATCTTGCAACGACATTTAGCAGCACTTTTTCCTTCTTAGACATGAAATAAAGACTTGCCTCACAATTGTGGGGGGCTTAGGTTCAATGAAATATGATAGGTAGTCGAACTATAAAGAAAAGCGGCAGAATGACTAACATAAAATTGGGGAGGGAGGGGGCCAGGGGGCGGACCGGCACCTAGAATTCTATAGTACTGGCCAAATGCTATTTTTCACCTAGATGGTGACTATATTGGTGTCTGTTTTACTGTTCTTGAAACACTCTCAACTCCACCATGTATGACAGCTTTCATGCAGAAGCGGTATGTGGAGGCAAGGAAGCGGGGCCACGTGTGCAATAGCTCAGGAAGCTGGATGGTGAAAGGGGGGAAGAGGGGGCGACACTTGCAAAAGGAAATGGAGGGGAGGACGGGCGCTAAATGGAAAGCCATCCCTGAGATGTTGGGCGGCACAGTTCCAACGAACGAGGAGAAGTCCGGAGCTACTTCCTCTGGTGAGCAAGAGGGACAAAGGACAAGATGGGTTTGTGGATTTCGGGGTGGAATCCTGCGCATCTTTTCTTTTGATGGCTTCTAGACTATCCGTGAAGGATTTATACATGGGGTGGGGGTCCTTACCAGGCCTGGCAGGGATGGGGCAATGGCCATGGCGAGTTGGTGTCTAAAATGCTAAGCACGTATTCCATGGTTACTACGTGCCAGATTCCGAAATGAGGAGCTTCTGACATCCATTATTCTGCTTACCCCCCTCCTCAGAGCGGCGAGGTAGCTCCTCTCTCCTCAGGCCTGGATTCGTGGCCCAGCGTTGCCATCACAAAATACCACAGACCACATGGCTTACACGACAGAACGTTATTTCCTCACGGTTCTGGAGAATGGAAACTCGAGATCAAGATGCTGGCAGTCCTGGCTTCTCCTGAGGCCTCACTCCTTGGCCTGCGGAGGGCCTTCCCTCCCTGCACCCCTGCCGCAAGTGCGCCCACCCCTTCTCCACAGGAACGTCAGCCCTGGTGGATCGGGGCCCACCCTAACGGCCTCATTTTAACCTGGTGTTAAAACCTAAAGAGATGTCTTTAAAGGCCCCATCTCCAAACACACTCAGATTCGGAGGTGCTGGCAGTAAGGGCTTCCACCTACGAATTTTGGCCGGGGCACGGGGGACACAGTCCAGCCCCTAACCATACCCATGAAGAAATGGAGACGTCGTAGAGAGGGGTGAACAACTTGCCAAGGGCATACAGTTGTGTCAGAGCTGAGATGCAAAGGCAAGCAGGTCAACAACAGGGGCTGACTACCAACCATTGCACTCTAAAACAAAAGGTCTTTTGGAGAATTAAAAAAAAAAAAAATACTGACCAGAATAAAGGAATAATATCAGACTTTTCAGAGCCAGGCACTCTGTTCCTGTAAACAGAGCGGATGGACTCCTCTCTCATGGGCTCCCTTTGAAAGTCTGAGCTTTAAGCACGGAGACTGTAATTGCTGGCTAACCTGGCAGGAAAGGTCAGTCATTGAGCATCAGCTGAAACCCTTCGGCCAGAAGCCAGGTTTAAGTTATGGGCTGAGGAGGTTGCCACCTACTGGGCTCTGAGGGGTATGGGTGGGAAAGAGGCTCTTTCCATAGGCAGTCCTCTACTGCCCTCTGCTGCCCAGCAGAGGAACACCCAGGAATCGACAGACAACCCTGCTTCCTTCAGAGACCCCGGGCGGATAGGGAAAGGCTGGAATCTGGTCTGTGGAGGATGTCACTCCCACTCCTCCCCACACACATACACACATTTCCAATCAATGGTCCAGCCAACTTTCACTTCTTGGCATTTGTGACCGTATTGATAAACTTGCATCAGGGCGCCTGGGGGGCTCAGTCCATTAAGAATCCTACCCTTCATTTCCGTTCAGGTCATGATCTCAGGATGATGAGATCAAGCCCCATGTTGGGCTCTGGGCTGGGCATGGAGCCTGCTTAAGTCTCTCTTCCTCTCCCTCTGCCCCTCCTCCCCCAACAACCGCAAAAAAAAAAATAAATAAATAACCTTGCTTCAGTTGTAATCATCATTTAAAAAAATTATCCGCTTCCTTCTCAAAAATGATGTTTCCCAAGGCCCCAGAATGTGAGAATTTGAATGCATGTCTTGATGACTTAAGAAAACATGGGTTTGCTCATTGTTTCATGTTTTCAAAAATTATAAACTTATTGTATGTTTGAAAGGATTTTTTTCAACATTTTCAAACCATGATTTCCTTTGTGATAGCCCAGAGCCCCCAACATATGGTTACAGTATTTTTGTAAAAATATTTCAATTTCAAATGTGCCTTTTCTTTTAAAAAAGTCAGTAAGTAGTTCATGCTTTTAGAAATTTCAGTGTTACAATTAACATAACAGTAAAATAAAATTTAAAAAAAAAGAAATTTCAGTGTTACATACTTGGGGAAAATGTTCTAAGGAATAAAGGGTTCCCTTGAATTGAGAAGCATATATAAGTGCCAGGAGAAACCGCTGACCTGCCCAAACTCTCAGCGATCCCGGTCCGTATGCTGCACGGGATGTGTGGCCCTGTGGACGTCAGTGAAATTCAAAATGGGGGGCTTACTGTCCTTCGGTGCCTCGACTCTTGTGTGGGTCCCTAGGCCTCCTTTATGCAGCCCCTGAAATGGGCATTTCAAACGCAAGTCATGAACAAAGAAACAAAATGCAAATCAGATTAGGATCCCCTACTGCTCTGGGAGAGGCCAAATGTCACGAGGCTTTGACTTTAGAATAAAATAACAGGGGCGCCTGGGTGGCTCAGTCGTTGGGCGTCTGCCTTCGGCTCAGGTCATGATCCCAGGGTCCTGGGATCAAGCCCCACATCGGGCTCCCTGCTCGGCGGGAGTCTGCTTCTCCCTCTCCCTCTGCCTGCTGCTCTGCCTACTTGTGCTATCTCTCTGTCAAATAAATAAAAAATCTAAAAAAAAAACAAAAAAACAAACTCCTTACCAGCTTTACCAGGCCACGTGATCGGACTTTTTCCAGCCCCTCCCGGCCTGCCCTCGCTCCGCTTCCCTGCTTCCCTTCCCATTCGGCTGTTTGCATTTTCATCCTTCCAGGAGCTCTCTGTGGCTCTGTTTTCAATAGTCTGTTTATTTCCTTCAGGGCAATTTGCTACAATTTGTAATAACCGTGTCTGTGTATCTGTCATTCACCTCCTGTCTCCATTAGGCGCCGCCCCCCGACCAGGCACGTCCTTTGTCAGTTTCGCTCTTGGCGGTATTCCCGGTGCCTCATGAGCATATAGTTATCACAGAGTGAAGTGAGCAAAGGCAGGTAGTGAGAGGTGAGTGACACCAAGTCGTTCCAAGAATACCCTGCCCCGGGGCTCAAGGCAAGGGGAGTCCCTGGCAAACAGAACTGCACTTTCATCTTTGACCCAGACTAGTCAGCAAAACCACCTTCTTCCTACTTGGAGGACAGCGAGGAAGCAGACGCAACCACAAGCCCGGAACCACAGTTCGGGAGAACTGGAGGGCAGCAGGGTCCACACAGGCGTGCCAAGCCATCAGAGGCAATCATTTAATTAGCGGTGTTGGGGCCCATCCAGGAGGCAAATGCCAGCTACCAACCAATGAGTAACACTTGGTGTTGATCCAGTGCTTTTCCCTGATGAGGGCCCCAGCGCAGTACCCACCCCCCCGCGCCCCCCGCTGACAGCCCGGCTCTGAGAAAGGTATATTCACAGCTGCATTTGACAAATGGAACAAGAAGAAGAAGAACCGAGGCCAGTGGGCTGGAGACCCACTCCTGGGCCGCAGGCTGGTGCCTGGCCTTCCAGTGGCTCTCGTCTCTGTCCTCTCGGGCAGACAGTCGGAGCCCGAGCAAGGCAGAATACATTCAGTGCTGCCTGTCGTCAGCTCAGAATCAGTGGCTTGGGGAAGCCTGAGGACAGCTGTCCCCAAGGGAGGTAGCTAGTGAGGGCTGGAACACTTGCTTGGCTCCAGGGAGGCCTGGGTCACACATCTTGGGGTACAGCTTTCCCCTCTTAAGCGCTCCTGGGTCCATGTAATTTCCTGTGCCCTAGGTTGCTTCTCTCCTGGGCAGGATCCTACAAAGAACGAGGTCAAGCCAGGATAAAACGTCTGAGAGCCTCCCAGGCAGGGGCAGCTTCAGGGCAGGCTGATCTGGGGGTTCTTCAGGAAGAGGGCCAGTCTCTGGGCCACGGCGTCCAGGTCGCCCGAGTTGGCAGACCGGAGGAGGTTGCTCTTTCGCACGAAATAGTGCTTCAGAAAGTGCTGGCTCACGCACTTGTGCAGTTCCCTCACCAGGCGCAGGAAGGCTTTGCTGAAGACCCGCCAGTCCTTCAAGTGTGGGTATTTCTCACAAGTCCAAAAAAGCACGGTCTGTGGAAGGAAGAGGTGGTGTCAGACATCGTTCCGGGCCACGGGGGAGAGTATCTTCGGAAATGTTACTGAGCTCACGTGGCCTTGGAAGGAGGGAGAAGGGAGTCACCCAGGGCTAGGAGGCTCCGCCATGATTTCATGATCCCCACCCTCAGGTGGGCTCTCGGCCTCAGCCTGCTGGTCTCCGGAGCCTTTGTCATTGTTTCTCTCGCCACTGACATTCCCAGTGACCGGCACTCTCCTGAAACCTGTGATCCCCCACCCTGGGCAGATGCCTTTGCCTCCTACTTTACAGAGAAAATGGAAACCCTCATGGCAGCAAACAGGACAGTTCTAGAGAGTTCTGCCTACACAGGCTTCTTCCTCTCTTCTCTGCTTGACCACCCCACCTAGCCGGGTGAACCCCATGCAGGGCTTGGGATCCCTCCTTGCAGGAGCTGTGTGGGACTGACTTCCCTCCTGAAACTGTTCTAAGCTCTCCTGCCCCACCCCTCCTGACCTCACACCTCTCTGCAAGCGCAATCAGCTCCACCATCTGTCGTCATTTCCTCTCCTCTGGTTCCCATCCTAACCCACTGCAATATGGATTCTTCTGCCCTCAGGCCTCAGAAGCTGCTGTCTGTAAGGTCCAGTGAGCTCCATGTTGCTAAGTCCAACAGGACTTGCCCAGCCCTGGCCTTACCTGGCCCTCCAGCAGAATCGAACTCTCCCACTCACAGCCTCTCTTGAGTCATTCATTCTTCGCCGGCTTCCAAGCCACTGTGCTCCCTGCATTTCTCCAGGCGCTACAGCTACTCCTTGGCATATTATCCCCTTTGACCTGCCTCGGTGCTGGAGTTTTGGAGGCTCGGTTCCACACCCTCTTTTTCTCCTTCTCTCTTGCTTCCTTCCTTGGCGGCTTGAATCCCCACCAAACACAGAGAAGTCACTCACAATTTCCTTTCTCCGAGCCAGACTTCGCCTCTGACCTGCTCCTCACCTGCTCTCTCTTGGGAATCTGAACGTTATCTCCATCAACATGGCCTCCCCCCCACAGACCGGGCGCGGCTCCAGAGCTGCTTGTCCAACCAGTCACGCAACACACGAGCCAGGAGTCACCCGTCCCTCACCAGCTGCATCAACCCCGCCAGTCCTCGGAAGTGGTTCTCCAATCTACCCATGTACGTTCATCTCCACCATCGCCTCCTCTTCCACCTCACCCGGACCTCTGTCCCATTGTTGTCCCCATCCTGTCACCACCCACGCTGCAGCCAACGTGATCTTTTTGAAACATAAACCCATGGTTCTTCTCGTCTGAGAGACTTTCAAGCCTTCTCCTGGTTGGTTAATGAAAGACCACAGTCCTTCACAGGGTTTGGTGTTACAGGTTTGGTCCCTACCGTCCTTTCCAGACTTGGCTTGCCCTCACCCTCCCTTGCTTTCTCCTTCCAGCCCCACCGGCCTCGTATCATGCTCTCTGCTACCACAGGGACTTCTCTCACATCCGACCTCTGCTGTATGGAACATGCTTCCTTCCCCCAATTTGTCCAGGACACTCGTCCATCAGATCAAATTCTCCTGTGAGACCATTAGACACTCTCTTCACCACATACTCCTCCGAATGCCCATGATCACAGGAGTTGTCATCTCTGTATTTATGTATGCGATCCCCTACGAGGTTGTAAACTCTATGAAAGAGGCCGATACCTATTTTAATGGCTATTATGCCACTAGCACCCAGCAGAGGAGCTGGCCCATGGGAGACAGTCAAAAATGTTTATTGACTAAGGGAAATAATTCACTAATGTTATGATTTGGATGTTGAGCATTTTTAAAATACAGTCTTTACTAAAAACGAAAAGAGCAGTTTTAGCTTCATGGCAAGATAGTGTGTATGTTTTGATTTAGATCACATTGTGTGAAGTAAATGAGTTGGAAGTAATGTCATACTATCAAGATAGCCTAGACACAAAAAAGTGTTTTAATTCCTCTTGTAGTTAAGCTTTTATCTCCCTAAGCAAACCCGAAGCGGTTAAGCCTCTTATAATCAAGCCCCTGTGCCTTTGAGTGGGTTTTAGGAATAAATAAGACAATGAAGGATGAGCTCTTGTTCACAGGGAGTTGCTTTGGCGGGGGGGGGGGGGGGGCTGCTTTGGGGACAAGGTGAGAACCTCCTCAGACCGTGTCAGACTGAAGGTGGGGTGATGATGACTGGCACATCCTTCCTGAGGCTGTTTTGCAACCCAGCTCTTCTACTTTCCCCAGACTGAAGGCTTGGCAAGGACCCCGCCCACTCAAGCCGACGTCCGGGCTGGTGTCACATTGTTACCAGCCACGTCCATCACTGTGTCTAAATGTGAGAGCATCTTGGACCAAGGATGGAACCCTAGAACAGGCAGCTGGTAGTGCTTCTGTCGGTCCTGTCCTCAACAAATAACCCCCCTTTTCAAATGCCCATTCTTGAGAATGCATAATTCTGTGCCCTGTTGGGGAGTTAGGGAGAACCAAAACAAAGCACATTTAAGGAGTTGCCCTAAAATCCTCTAGTGATTGAGAAGCCACTGGAATAAAAGTAAATCCTTGGGTGTAATGCAGTTTTGACAGCAGTCAAGGGTTGGGAGGCCCAGGGTGGCCCTATTCAATCTTGTCTAAAATATTCGTGTCACTTAATATGTTTCCATCTGTCTTAATTGTGAAGCAGTGAAGTCAATGGTTAAGATCATGAGGTCCGATATGAGAGAGAATGGAGCTTGCTTCTCAGCTCTGACTCTTCCTAGTGTGGCTTATAGAAAGGCAAGCAAGAAAGAAGCCAAACCCGCAGAATGAACTAGCCTGTCCTCAGGAAGCACATGCCCTCAAGAACAGGTGGGTGTTTTTAGGGGAATGTGCGTGGGCACATGTTGAGAATGTTGAAAGTCCAGAGAAAGGCCCCCGTGTGTGCAAATGAGATAGTAACAGGTTCTCGGGCGGGTCAAGGAGGACAGGTTATTAGGAAAGAGAAGAAAGCCAAGCAAAGACTACTGCCTTCATGGGGAAAAAAGTGGAATATGATGTGAAGGCATGCATTCATTTGCTCAATAATTATATATCGAGCAACTACTATGTACGCAGCACTGGGAGAGATACTAAGGGTTCAGGAGTAGGTGCCCTTAAATAGCTTACATTGGAGCTGGAAGAGTTATCCAGGGCCAGAAGATGGCGGGTCCCCTGAATGAGAGGGGGCACAAGCAGGAAGTCACCGCACAGACAGGCGGCCTGTGCTCACCTGTGCAAGAAGGTCAGGGAGAGGGGACGAAGCTCCTGGATAGACCCCAGCTAGGCTTGGGCTGTGCTGTCTCTAAGTCGGCCACCTCCTGACCTCAGAGCACCACACAGCTGTGTTCCGTGAACGTCCCATTCACCATGTGCAGTTGGGAATTTGCAAAAGAGGAGTTGAGGATGTGATGGAAGGCCCTCTCCCCAGGGAGACCCCCTGATGTCCCAGGCCAGGGTCTGCTGCTCTGGGCCCGTCCTCCCTGGTGCTCCCCATGCTGTGTGACTCCACGTGCACCTGGGGGACCACCTGACTGCCCATCTCCCCCGCTGAACCATCAGCTCCAGGGGAGCAGGAACCACTTCTGTGTTTGCTCACCTTGGACCTCCAGGGGTAGCGCCGCACACAGCAGGTGCTGGGGCAGGTGTCTGGCCCACGGTAACCTCAATAAACATTTGCTGAGCAAGTGAGTAAAGGCAGTCATGAATGTGTGTTGTTGGGTTTGGGACAAGGGGAGGCAGGTGCTGCAGAGGGAGGGGAAATCCCTGCCTGAGGATTTGGAACCCAGGAGTTCAGGTCCGCAGCCATGCTCACGTGGCAAGCCCCTTTTCCTGGTGGCCCCACCCCCCGGCCCCGGCCCCCACCCCCGTGTGGCAGTGGCCGCACCTGGCTAGAGTGGGGACCCAGGGAGTCCTAACACCAGGGGAAACGTGAATTCCCCTGAGGTTCGAGCCATCCACAAGCTTTCCCCAGACTGTAGGTTTCTCAGGGGCGCAGGCCACACGGTGTAATCAGTGCTGAACCTCAGCGCAGTTTCCGGCACATAGTGGACACTCGTGTCGGTTTGGTGAGTGAAATAAGTGGAGGGGAGAGACGGAGAGAGAAGAGGAGGAAACAACCAAAGGAAAGGAGCAGCAAGAGGGCAAGCGGGGCCGGGGTGGGAGGAGGCAGAGGCCGTTCAGCCTGGGCAGGGCTGTCCTGGGCACACATACAGCCCGGCTGTCGGGACCTCACTGGTGAGCAAGCATAACACATGGGATGGCCCACAGGGGCACGAGGGCCCCCTCTCGAATCAGTCGCATACACACACACCCGGTGTGAGGGGCTCTGGCCGGGCCCCGGGGGCACGCAGAGAGGACCCCCGCCAAGGCGGGGCGCGCCCGCTCACCTGCAGATGGTGGGACGTGATGACCGGCCTCTTTCCCGGACACCAGACGTCCTCCTTCATCTGCCTCAGGGCCTGGAGACACCTGCTGCGGCAGCCCCCGTCCTCATCCAGCTGTGCCAACAGCACCTGCTCGGCCTGCAGGAAGCTCAGCTGCCAGTGATACTGCGAACGGGCCAGCAAGGCAAACCCGAATGACTGGGAAAAGAGAAAGACACCAGGAGAATGAGGAGGATGCTGGCCAGAGTAGAAAGCCATCACTGAAGCCATCCGCTACGCTACGGGGGGTGGGGGAACCTGCCACCAGGCAGGCAGAACCTCCCACGTGGGGACACGGAGGAGGGCTCAGGGCAAACCCCCTTCCTTGTGCACAGGGAACGGGAGAGACGGTGTCCACTTTCTCGCAGGCACTGGTTCTCCAAGCCGAGCCTGCACCTGGAGAGCTTCACGCACAGACTGTTGCGCCCGGCCCATCGGCTCTCATGGTCCCGAGCAGGGCCTGGGAATCCGCATTGCTAACAGGCTCTCAGGGGCCGTGGCAGACTGTGGGGCCCCCACCTGGAGCACCGCTGATCGAGTGAAACCTCATTTTTCCCTTCCAAAGCTGGCTGACAGTGGGTAAGCTGTGAGCGCCTCTGCTCTGGCGAGCTGGGCCCCTGGCTCCCCGATACCTTGATGCACTCCACTCTCTGTCGGGAAGGCCAGCGCCTCAGACAGGGAGGCCACCGAGCTTTCTCAGACCAGGCAGTAGGGATCTCCACTGTGGGGACCAGCTCTAGCTCCACCTGCCATGTGGCTGTTTCCACGGCAACCCAAACTGCAGAGTGGTGTGTTAGCATGCTGACCTTACCTGGTGGGAAATGACAAAGAAGCAATGAGAAGAGAAAGCCTGGCTCAGGCAAAAACATTCAAAGGAGGAATTGGGGAACCGTGGCGGTGAGCAGCTCCTTGCGCCTGGTGGGGCAACTGCCACAGGTCGGTAGCACCCCAAGGGTGGGGTGTTCATGGCAAAACTAGACAATTAGCTGAGTAACTATTGATAGAAACATTGCTAGAAAATCTCACGGTGGGTGAGTGTTGCTTTTTCCTTTCTCCGCCCCCCGCCCCTAGGCTTTTATGGCACCTTTTCTTTGAAAGTAATACATTCTTTTCAGAAGGCTCAACTGAAGAAAAGAGACACAAGACAAAGAAAAGATGGAGTATTTGCTAATAAAAATGAAATCCAACCATTCTTCTACGCCCCCTCCATTCTGCCCAGATGTCCTGACCTTGTTGAGAATGGCGTTCTCCCCTGACTCATTCACCTGCCTCTGGTGGAGTTCAGCTTAACCCGTCCCTTACCTGACTCCCAGTCTCTCGGATGGCATTGTTCCCACCATCCATTAAGCTAGTCTAGCCTCAGATGTATTTGTCACCCCAAGCCCTTGTAATTATAAAATACTTCAAAGTGTGTCATAACCACTGGCTGAAAGGGTCGAATGAGTGGGAAAAAGCCCCCACTGCCTCTTCCAACCAGGCCATGAGAGAGAGAGAGAAAATAAATGCATCTGGGAGCATCTTTCAGCTCCTGTACTAGAATTCCTTGCTAATCTGTTCCCCCTTCTTTCAAAAGATACACAGTCATTTTTTGTTTGTTTGCCTTCATTACGGATAAGGATGAGCTGTCTTGAATCGGGATCGATTATTTTTCTCTTGTTTGTTCAGAAAAGAAAATGGAAACTCACTCATTAATCGTGTTAAGCTGTTCAAAAGGAAAACATTCCTCTCCTTGGCTGGGGTGTGATAAAGAGCTTATAGTCTGCACCTCATCGGAGCTGCCCAGACAGGAACATGACGACGTCTGGCACCCTGGCATTATTTACTGAAAGCATCTCACCAACGTGGCCCGTTTGCAAGCTCTCATTTGCACTTTCACTATTACCAGCGTTTCAAAGTGAGGGAGTCAGCACATGCTGGAACCAGCCTGCCCCGTCCACACCCTGCTTCTGCTCTGGCTCTGCTCACTTGGTGTGTGACCTCCCGCATGTTAGCTCATCCCTCGCTAAACCTCAGTGTTCTCCTCCATAAAACAGGCAGAAAAATAACTCCGACTCTCCAGGGTTGCTATGCGCAGGACATTTTCCACAAAAGCATCCTATACGTGGTAAGAATCCATTAAACGTGGGCTAATTCCATTACGGAAACTTTCAGAACAGTTCCGTCCAGACAGGTAAAAGATCATTCAAATCTTTTCCTTTCTACACACGTGTGGGATTGAGTCCTGTCCAGCACTTTGGTTTTTCCCTTCATTTTCCAGCACAAGGATTTTTCACAACTCCGTGTGTACACACATGTACCCCATTCTTAAAGGCAAAGGTAGTACAATTTATTTCACAATTTCCCTTTGTTACTGACATTATTTCTAGTTACTTACTATTCGAGCCTAAGGCCATGGACGCCCTTGTGCATATTTTTTTTTATCTGTAGGAATATAGTTCTAGAACTGGAATTGTTGAATTGTCAAGTTAAGCACATTATAAAAATAAAAACAGACTAATCGCCCTTTAAGAAGTAGGCACCAATTTACATTTCCAAGAACAATGTATGAAAAGGCCTTTTGTACCACACTCACCCTTACCCTGAGCATGATCATACTTTTTCATCTCCGTCAATCTATTAGGTATTTTAATGCACACTGCTTGAAATATATGTTAGATGGAACATTTTTTCTGACTTTTTTTTTAAGATTTTATTTATTTATTTGAGAGAGAGAGAGAGAGAGAGAGAGCGCATGAGTCAGGGATAGAGGCAGAGGGAGAGGGAGCAGCAGACTCCCCGCCGAGCAGGGAGCCCGATGCGGGGCTTGATCCCAGGACCCTGAGATCATGACCTGAGCCAAAGGCAGATGCTTAACCAACTGAGTCACCCAGGCATCCCTTTTTCCCTACTTTTTTACTATTACTTGTTTATTTTCTTTTTCTGTGAGTCTTTTTTTTTTTTTTTTTTTTGGTCATTATTTCTACTGGTCTACTTGTATGTTTTCTTACTGGTTTACAAATACTCTTTCATAATTAAGGAAATCCGTCACTTTTTCCCAGCGTGAAATACACTTTTTTATTCTGTGGGAACAAAATGAATGTGTGAGCGAATGTACATACATGCCACATGGTAGCATACAATTTAAGATTTGGGGATTGTCAAACTTAATCAGTTCTTTATGGCTCCTCATTTTTGTGTTTTGGCACAAGTCAGTGGTTTCCAAATGCGGCATCTCAATACACTGGGGGACGGCAGTCAGTTGGAGGGTGTTACAGAAATGTGCTAGTAACAAAGATCTGTGGTTTGCAAGTATTTTGCTTTTTAAAAAGTGTACCTAAGTTTTTAAATTAACGTCCAGGAAAGGGCACACAACCCAAAGCCCATGATGTCTCTGCCAGAGCAGTAACCCACGGAAATCCAAGCGGGTGCTGTATGGATTCCACTCTTCAGTGTCAAAGCAGAAAAAAGAGCTAATTCATACTGTGAGGAGTGAACAGATGTAAGGAGCACATGGTTAATGTCTCAATTTAGGGGCACGAGCTTCAGGTAACACCTACGTAGAGGTTTTTTGTTTGTTTGTTCACGACTTTATTTATTTATTTGAGAGAGAGAGAAAGACAGTATGAGTGTGCGGGGCAGAGGAAGATGGAGAGAGACAGAACCCCAAGCAGACTCCATGCTGAGCAGGGAGCCCGATGCGGGGCTCGATCCCAGGACCCCAGGACCACGACCCGAGCTGAAACCAAGAGTCAGACGCTCAACGGACTGCGCCACCCAGGCGCCCCTGAGCAGAGGTTTTATAAAGCAAAAGGGAAATGCCAGAAATTGCCCTTTGTCCTTTTCTTGATCAGCTCACCTGAGAGATGACAGGTTCCGATTGCATTTTCTACCAGCTTCCGGAACACCTGGAGGACCTTGGCGGGTACAATATCTCCCTCAATGTTCACGTCTGCCTCATGCCACTGCCACAGGCTCTTCATAAACTGCTCCACCTCCAGCCACTGCTGCAGGCCCTCCGGATCCTGCAAGGGGCAGGACAGCCTGGTACCCTGTAGGGTGTAGTAGCGCCAACGTTGCTCCCTCGCCTCCCTGTACCCGGCCAGGCCCTTCACCGGGACGGTGACCAGGAACCGGCTGGGGGACAAAACCTGCGGTCAAGAAGGGAGACGGGAGTGTGAGTTCACGGACTTGAGAGGTAACCACAATCCCCGGGGCGCCAACCTGTCGAACCGGGTTGCTCAGTGAACTACTCAACCCTTAGCAATGCGCCAAGATGGACAGAGGGCTGCACCTGCCCTCTGCAGGAGGGTTCCATCTTTGTTCTGCCACACTAACCACTGTAGTGGTCGGGCAGATGAGTTCATTCACTGAGCCCTGGGTGTAAGGAACCTGCAAGGAAAAGACTGAACCTGACATGGAACTCAAGGGGGCACCGAAGTGGGGAGAAGAGAAGGCAGGGGAAGGAAATAGTATACAGTGAGTTCTGCACATACTAAGCACTGCAAGTCTCAGGCATTAGACTAGGTGATGTTCCCAGTGACACGAAGAGGCGGGCTTCATTAACATTTCCCAGATGAGGAACCTAAAGCTCAGAGGGGCTCTGAGATCTCCCGGGGGACACACAGCCAGGAAGTGGGAGAGCCAGAATGTGAGCTTAAGCCATCTGATGGCTTGTTCAGGGGTTGCTTTCTATGCTGGGCTGGCTCTCATTCGGGGAGGAATGACCTGGATCAGGTGAAAGTTCTGGTATGGGAAGAGACAGGAGGGGGAGAAAGGATTCTGCAAAATGTCTCCCTTTCTTTTTGCCAGTACCGATGGCCCACGGCCAGTATTATTGATTGGTCCTTACAAAATCACAGGTCAAATGAAAGGCAGTTGCTGAGACCACATGAGCTGTTGAGATGATTCTATGTTTAATAAAACTTAGAATAAAGCAAATGATCAGAATCTACCTACTCTGTTTCTACAAGTACCAGTTAGGCAGGGGTCAGGATGAAAGTGGTCAGGTCAATGGTCCAAAGGATAGAACAGATTGGCCAGCACTACAGTATCCCCAGAAGGAGCTTGACCTCTGGCCACATCGCGTGGCAGCCGACTCCACACCACACCTTTTCCCATCAGTCATCAGTTGTGCACTGGAAGATCCACCTCCTTTTCATGGAAAGTTCTGACCATGGCATCTGGTTAACCTTTGCTCAGGGCTCTGTCACTGGCCAGTTCAGGGGTGAACACCAAACTCTGCCTCATTCTCAGAGAACAACGGTGTGATGCTTTAGAAAATGGATCCACATGACTTCGGTGCCCACAGAAAGGTGGTGGGATTAAAAAAGGGAACAAATTTAAACTCTGGCACTCAAAATCAATACCTTCTTTGAACCCACTCGCATGTGAATTCGAGAGCACAACTATTATGTTAATAGTCACATAAATGGTGCTTAGTTAATACTTGCTGGATTTGGTCCAAGATAAAATAAAAGCGATTTTTATACACCCCACTTCAACTATTTTCAAAACTTAATATGCAGGACAGGATGTGTATAAATGCAAGATATATTTTAGCCTATGAATTCTAAGTGAGACCACAGAAGGAAATTTCTTCGGATATAATTCTAGGAAAAGGGTGTTATGGGTGGCTCAGTCGGTTAAGCGTCTGTCTTCAGCTCAGGTCATGATCCCAGGGTCCTGGGATCAGTTTCCCTGCTTAGTGGGGAGTTTGCTTCTCCCTCTGTCTCTGCAAATCCCCCTGTTCATGCTCTCTCTCTCAAATAAATAAATAAATAAAAATCTTTTTTTAAAAAAGTGGTATTGTGTTTCTACTCCTAGTCACTGGTCTCTATTGGTCTAATGCAGGTTAGAAGGGCGATAGAAGTGGGCAAACGATGTTGTGATATGTGGGGGTCAAATCCACTTTTAGAATTTTCATCCTGGGGCGAATTTCTCAAAATCTGTACTCTGTCGCCAGATGTACATGTCCCAGATTCTTGTGGGTGGTCCTTGTGCCCAAGAACCTTGGTATGTTCTGGACCAGCAAGGGTCTTCAGTCCAGGCACTTATTTCTTTTACTTATTCATTCATTCACTGAAGCTGAGTGTCTGCATGGGCCCCACACCATGCTGGGTGCTAGCAATGAAGCGATCAATAAACATGATCTTTACAATCCAGGAGCTTGTAGTCTTGTGTGAGAGATACGGCACGAATACATATTATCTAATACAAGTGAAAGGGGTTCTTAGGTGCCATAAGAAAAATCAAGATAAAGGAGCATGGGGTCTCAGAAGGGCTCAGAGCCCCACTTCCCTCATCTCTGAAAGGCAACGAGCCACGTCTGTTCTTCAAGGTTGTTTGCAGGTGTGAGGGAGGCCATTTCTGTGAGAATGGCTCGGCTCACACAGCACTGTTGCAGGAAGGCTGGCTGTCATGCATGGGCCCTGGTGGCTTAGAGTCCTGTCTTCAGCGGGGACAGGGGTGGCCAGGCTGCCTCTACACTTTCTAAGGGCCACCTCTTCCACATCTTCCTTCCCCCACCTGCAACCCATGGACTCTCGCTTTCAACCCATTTCTCACCAATGCCCTCCCTGGGTTCCTGTCCCCAGTCCCCAGGCTATTAAGCAGGTGCTGCATACATGAATGTGTGCTTAACTAAACTTCAGTTGTTACAGCACAGCGTGCTTGGAGTCCGAAGCCCTGGGCTGAGTTCTGGCTGTTGTGCCTAACAGGACGTGATCAGGACATTCGACTTCTCGAAGCCATTCTATCATCCGTAAAGTAGGACCGTGGGGGCTCACGTGACACAGCACCCCTGGAGCGAGTGTGTAAGCGGTAAACACTAAGAGGACCTGTGGAACATGAGGGATTATTGGTACCCTCAGTCAGGTGATGCCTGGGGCACACTGAGACCCACCCACCCACACAACTTACAGAACAGGTGAGACCTACTTACCTTAATGTTCCCATTGTACGTGTCAGAGTAAGGGACGGCCTGGAATCGAATGTCTTGGTGGCTGATTTCTGTGGTCAGCTGGTGGACAACCCTCTGCACTTCCTCCACAATCTGGGAGAGCTGCTGGCGCCTCACGCCCACCTGGGTGGGAAGGGATCAGCACAGGCAGTCATTCCCAGGGCGGGGCCCAGGCATCGGCACAGGGACGTGATGAGACAGGCCCGGTGGTAGGCGACCACAGGGGCACCGTCAGACAAGCTGGCCCTCCCAAGAACCCCAGGGGACATGCACCTAGGTGTGACGGCACTCGCTGGTGATTCAGTGTTCTTTGAAATACAAGCATTCACTCAGCATTAATCCAGTACCTGTGTGCAGCGGGCGCTGGGCACAACAGTGAACTAGAGAAGAGCAAACAAGATAGACGTGTCCTCATATATACAGGATATGCGTACATACGTGTATACACACACACGGACGTGTGTGTATAATCTAACATCGGGTATGATAAATCCCGTGAAGACAAATAAAATAGGATAAGGGACTAGACAGTAAAGGCGCTGCTATTTTAGATCGGGTGACCAGGGAAGGCTTCTCTAAGGAGGCAACATCTGAGTGAGCCCTGACAACAGCAGGGGAGAGCAAATTCTGAGGGCCCCTAAAGCAGGAGCACGCCTGGCAAGGCAAGGGGGCCCCTGTGGTTGGACCCTGGAAAAGGGAAAGGAGGGGGACGGGAGATGAATTTGGAAAGGCTGGTCTGGCCGGCCCATCCCACAGGGCTTTGCGTGCTGTGGTGAGACTCTAAAATGGGGTGAGAACGGTTGCCGTCCAGGTTGGTGAAGACGAAGCAGTTCAACGCATGTAATCACGTCGCAGTTTCCTGTCTTCTGTCGTCCATAATGATGGCTCTCTGGGCCCCGGTACTCATCCTCCTTTTGCTACTAGACCCATAAGAAAAGGCACGTGTTTTATGTTCCCTCAGAATCCGCACTGCAAGTTCCCAAGAACCGGAATTACTGTGAGAAAGTTGAACACCAACGTTATATACTTTCACAGATACTCAAGGTTTAGGGAAATAGGTGTTTGTGGGGAACCCACAGGAACTTTTAGTAAACTCCGGGAGAGTTCGGAAGATCCAAATGAAGAAGAAATGGGAAGAGTCTGTGTTTTCTGAAATGGAGGGGCCCTGTTCTGTTGCTCAGGCTGGTGCCACGACAAGGGTCCCCCTTGGGGAGGCTGCTGAACCTGGCAGGGAACTGACTGGAAGCAAAAATCTGATATATCTAGATGCAATGTCCACCGTGAATCTTTATAGTCTGTCTGAGTTCTGTATAATGGCTGTTTCTATGTATTCTCTAGTCATTTAAGACACCCATAAGTTAATCAAGAAAAATGTCCAAGTCAAAGAGATTTCTAGCTGTTTTCCTGACTAACTCATCAGCTAGTCCAGTCACCTGGGACTTCACACCTCCCACCAACAAACCCGACAACCATATATGAACAGAGGACACAAATGTGCATAGGCACACATGCTGTATATCACATGTATAAAATGTGTCATATGTAAAGTTAGCTCATTAATAAACACCTCTGTGTGCCAGGTCCTCTGTGACATGCTGGGACCCAGCAGTGAGTAACACAGACATCACCATGGTTTACAGTAGGTGGGAAGACAGGCGTGAGTACTGAACATAAGCATGGGGGCCATGACGGGAAGTGGAGGGTGCCCCTGGGTTCAGCAGAGCAGGTGACCTAGTCTGAAGCCTGAGACCTGTTTTAATCGTCCCGATCCCCACACAGGGGAATGTCTTTGAAAAACTAATACCCTCCAGATGCCTACGAGTAACAAGAAACATAAGACGAGGCTCCTGATCTTAAGGAAGGAAATACATGATACACACGAAATAGTCTTTTCAAAATCCATGTGTCTTGTCTGACCTCAGATACGATGATCATGTCTACATAGGCTTTTAATGCCACCTTCTTGCCATCAGCACCCACCTACTGCTTTCATACGTCCACCCACTACATTCATCACGCGAGGGCACCTTTCTTGAGCATTTGTAAGCTATTGAGATTCTGCATCTTCCAGAGTGTCCGAGGGGAAGAGAAAAGGTGGTCACGGAGGGGGCAGATAATTTGCCATGCCAAAAATAAAGGAGAATGCATTTAGTAGCCCATGATGAAGGGTCCCCTGCAGGGTAAGACCTCTATGTGTTGTGATTCAACTCCATTAGATCAATTTTGTTGAACATTTTATGCCAGGTGCTATGTGTACATGTTTGTTGTCAAGAGGTTTACAGATGACACAACAGAGCAAGACAAAAAAACCAGAAATTAAAGTCACAGCAATCTAGTGCTGTGTAGAGGTCTGTACAGGATGCTATGGGTACATAGATGCTATGGGTACATAGAAAAGTATGGGTACGGGATGCTATGGGTACTTAGAAAAGGGGAATATCATCTAGTCTGGAGGCTGGGGTCTCTTCCTGGAGGCAGAGTGTAGGGGAGTTGTATCTTGAAAGATTAGTAGGAGTTAGCTAGAAAGAGAAGGGTGTGAGGGTTGTTCAAGACAGAGCAAATGGCAGATATCTAGTATGAGGAGCACAGGGGGTTGCAATGGCTCCCCTATATTGCTGGAGAAGAGACTGCCTTAGAGAAGGATGGTGAAATGGGAGAATAAGCAGCAAGAGGGCTTGAAAATCAAGGAAGAAGAATTTCAAGAACAAAGTCAACATTAAGTGGCTGAAATGAGATAGGGCCCCAAAAATGTCTACAGCGTTTGGCAACTAGAACAGGATCGATGTGTTCAGGGAAGGGGTGGGCATTTAAGCCAGACTGCAGTGGGTAAAGAGTAAGTGAGTGGGAGGCGAGCAAGCGAACACAGAGGTAAGCAACTCCTCCAGAACTCTGGCCAGGGAAGGGGAAAAAACAAAACAGGGACACCAACGGGGTTTTTTCAAAATGACACACAGGTTTGAACACATTTAAATGCTGAGAGAAAGGAGCCAGTGGGGAAGGAAGAGGCAGCAGGGAGCTAAACCACTGAGTCAGGGTTTCCCAGCCAGAGCGTCGTGCAAATCCAGAAACCTGGTGAGCAATTCACGTTGGCGCATCAGAAGGAAAGAAAGACAGGTGCAAGCAGATAAAAGGGTAGGAGCGCAGGAATCGGAGAGATTTCCTGTCTGAGGGCTGTTTTCTTTACAGAGCGGGAGACAAGGCAATGTGCTTTGGGTGAGGTGGGGAGGAGACCGTGGGGGACTTCGGGGTGACAGACTTTGGAAATCACATCTCTGAGGAATGGGGGCTGTTCAGGCACCACGTGCGGACTGCCAGGCAGTCCCAAGACTCAGTTGTGGGGGGTCCACGGAGCTATGGCCTATCGGCGGGCTCAGTTGTAAGATGGTCTCCACACCTCGTCCCTCCAAAGGTAACAATGGAGATGCTAAGGCAAGGGCTTGCTGGGCGGAGAAGGCTAAGGCAACAAGGAAAGGTTTCTATGGTGGGCCATGTTTTCCAGCTGGGGGAAGAAAATGGACAAAGCCATTTAGTAGATTAGGGAACACTGGACAAGGTCAGGGACCAGAAGTCTAATCAGGAAGAGCAGCAGAGGGGCACCTGGGTGGCTCGGTCGGTTAGGCGTCTGCCTTCGGCTCAGCTCGTGATCCCGGGGTCCTGGGATCGAGCCCCACATCGGGCTCCCTGCTCAGTGGGGAGTCTGCTTCTCCCTCTGCCCTCTGCCTGCCGCTCCCCCTGCTTGTACTCTCTTTCTCATTATCTCTCTCTCTCTCTCTCTCTCTCTCTCTCTCTGTCAAATAAATAAATAAATAAAATCATAAAAAAAAAAAAAAGGAAGAGCGGGAGAAAGTCATACAAGGCTAACTAGACAGAACACCGCAGTCAGAGTGGTTGGGAAATAGTCTTCTCAAATCGCTAATTTCTTAGACTGTGTTGAGGACTAAGGCTCAGCCACAAGTCCTCCAAGTCCACTGATGTGAGTTCATAGAACTCAGATGTCAGTAACATAGTGGTAATTTACATGCATGTACATTTTGTTTCCTGAGTTGGTAAACTAAGGAAAGATTCATCACCATACTGACACTGTCAGTTTTTTTTTTCTTTTGAGAGAGAGAGAGCAAGCAGGAGGGGCAGAGGGAGAGAGAGAGAATCTGAAGCAGGCCTCACACTCAGAGCAGAGCTGGACAGGGGGCTCAATCTCAGGACCCTGAGATCATGACCTGAGCCAAAATCAAGAGTTGGATGCTTACCCATCTGAGCCACCCAGGTGCCCCGACACTGTCAAATAAATTTTAACTGATAAAAGCTTGAGAGAAAAAGTATGTGTGTGTGTACAATGAGTAGTCTATTGGATAAAAGTTCTCCACCGTGAATCTCTTCTACAAATTCTGCCCTCACTGGATGGTGGCATTTCCTTCCTGGGCAGAGCTCCCAGGTCATATACTCCCTGGGAGACACCTGTAATCTCTCACTCATTATACATCTTTATGACTTGCTTTGATTTCTGGAAGTAGAAATCAGAATAAGGGAATACTTTTCTGGGCCTAGAGCCATAAATTCTGGTTTTGATTTCCTTCATCCATTACTGCCGTTGCTATTTTGACTCGGGATCTTAGAATTGGAAGAGACCTCAGAAATCATCTTGTCTGGTGTCACCCTACAGGAGGACAGAGTGGTGGGTAGTTCTCCTAATGTCACACTGGCAGCTGGCAGTAGGGCTGGCCCTATGTCCGGGGTCCCTCACTGCTTTCTGTCCCTCTGTGCCATACCCTCGAGTAGACGCTCCAGAAGTAATACCTACCTTGATCCTCTTCCTGAACCTAACCATGCCCTCCACTGGAACTGAAGTCAAGGTGCATGAAATAACAGATCCAAAGTCAGATCCAAAGTCTCCATTAATCTGGGCAGCACTGACTGTTCTGGCACCCACAGGCACCCCAGGGCAACACAACAGTGAGAGTTAGGTGGGAGCCTCTTCCCCGCAGGTGATGCTGGGCCGCGTCGCTGGCCACGCTTCCTGTGGTCAGTTCTTCCCTCTACATCTCTATGGACCACGTGCTCTTCAGCAACTCCAGAAGGGACTCATTGGGAAGGTTTCCCAGGCTCCGTCCCACAGACCACTCGTCACTCCCTTGGTGTCCATCAGCACCCAGAAACCCCAGGTGGAGACTACAGCCTAGTAGGGTGGTGCAGGAAGATTCCATTTCAGGGTGTGGGAAAGCAGGGAATGGGGCCCGAGGCAGCTCTGTAGGGAGTGATCTTGGGGGAAGGAGGTGCCACCACAAGCAGAGACCTGTCACCGGCCCGAGCCCAGAAGCCCTTTCATGTGGGTCCAACTTCAGGAAGATACCAGGTGCAGCCTTGAGGCGGCCCTGTCACCAGACCCATTCCATGGCGCAGCTTGGGAACACACGTAAGGGGAAAAGAGGGTCACTTCCGAAGAAGGAATCAAGGCACATTCAGTCCAAACGTGACCTCAGTGCGCGTGTGAGTTTCACTCACCTCCTCTGAGGATTAGGTCATGAACACAGGTGTGCTTTTCTTTTTAAAAGGCTACCTTTGTGGATGGGACAAAGCACGAGCAGAAAGGAACTGGGTGAAATTAGCCAGACCCACAACGCTAGACCGGGGTTACACCTTCTCATCCTCCCCTCCGTCCCACTGACCCCGGAAAGTTACACCCCGCTTGTCAGCGAGCAAATTCAGGAACTCTAATGAAGCAGAGTTTTTGCAAAAACAGTCATCAGAGGCCCCCTTGAAGGGTGCCGTGCGGTTTCTGTGGGCCTCCCTCTCTCCAGGGCACGTGTACCTGTCCCCACACACGTACACTTCCCCATCCCAGGCCACCTTCCTCCTCCCCGGCCACAGCATCTGGCCCACTGTTGCCCCACACATCATCTGCTACTATTAATAGCTCGAGTTCGGAACAATTTACTGTTTCAAATATAGATCAGTGAGAATTCAAGGTTATTGCCTATCATAACACCATTCTGACTCACTTGCATTCCGACATGCTTTCTTGAGACAGGTGGAGGGGCGGCGCTAAGGAGCATGCCAGGAATGTCACACAGGCCTGGCCCCCAAGAGCATGTGGCCCGTGTGGCTGTCACCCATGGTGAGTGCCCCTGGGGATAAAAGGCTGAGAACTTCCTGCCAGACATTTTAATTCTGGTATTGCATTAAATCCAATAATCGGATCTTTAAAAAAAAAAAAACACAGGATGAGCACCATCTCTGTCTTCCAGGATTAATGATCAAAAAGGATGGAGACGTAAGGTGCTACCTACAGATGAGATAGGAGGCCTTCCACCATCATATCCCCATCTTCTCAGACCCATTCTTTCCTGAGCCAGATGCTGGGGCCCCACAGATTCTGTACAGCTGTGCAGAAACCACAGCAACAGTGGCACCACGGAGCTGGGACGGGAGGCCCTCCTGTGTGCAGGACCCTCTCTGAGAGCTGGCCCCCTTGAGCTGCCCAACAATCCTGGAAGGTGGATGCTATGATTACCACCATTTTACAGAGGAGGAAACGCAAGTTCAGAGTGTGTAGAAATTTGCCCTGGGTCCGCCTGAGTCAGTGAGTCCCAGAACGGGGATCCATGCTGGGCACTGTCACACCTGGCAGCCCACGTTCGTAACCATTGTACTGCTCGGCCTCCCCAGGGACAAGGCTGCCAGGCACAAAACCCGCACTGACGGCTTGAATGGGGTTCCCTCAGCCGGGAAGGCCTCTCCAGGACTCCTCCACTTGGTAAAACCCCATGCGTGCTCTCGGGCTGAGTCTCCACTTCTCTTGCTGCGCCACACCTCCCCCATGAGAGCCAACGCTCCTCAGTTCTCCTCCAGCACCCTGTGGAAATCTCCGGTGTAGCCCTGTGGTCTGCCATGTGTTCTATTAAGCATTTCCCTGTCTGCACAAGGAACATTCTCCTTTCACCCTTGGAGTTATGGGCAAAATCTGCAGGAGGGAGGGGGCCGTCCTTAAAGATACCCCAAACACATTTTCCCTCTCAGTTCATAAGCCACACCCTGGACCTGGGTTTTGGGCACAGTGTTTTGCACATAACAGGTGCTCAGTGTGTGTTTGTGGAGATATAGAGGGGTTTAGCAGAGCAAATACGGCTTTGGAGTAAAACAGAATTTTCTTACCGACACCTCGCACTTTCACTATCTAGCTGTGTGACTTTGGTCAAGTTACTGGAGGTACTGTGCATGTGCCACATGGTCGCTGATAGATTCCATGAGATCCTGCCTGGGCCTCAACCTGCCAGCACCTTTTACACTATTCTTGCATTATCTTCAATAACTCCTAAAGGTATTCTGACCACATCTGTGAACGTCAAGGGGAATGAAGATATCCGAGACACGATCATCCCCTACAGAAACTTGTAAAGAATAAAACGAGATAATATTTAAGTTGCCACCCAAGATAATAATAGGAAAGGTGCCAAGAGTCAATATACAATTGATTGTCAAACAAATATTGTCAGTAGTAATTATGACAGGAGTTCAAAGGGAAGCCAAAACATTCTGGGCTAGGGTGTCAAGGAAATCTTTCGTGATAAGGTAGGCTCTGAGCTGAATTTGAAGGATGAGTATGAGCCAGAGAAATGGAAATGGAGAGGAGAGAGGATGTGTCCCCTGGCAGAGGAGAGAAGATCAGCTCAGGCCTTAGACTTTCTCAGGACATCGTACTTGTGGGGCAGGCCTGGCAGACTCACCACCTACAGGGACAGAGGGCGGACGCACACGAGAGGGAGGGCTGAGGGGGGCGCAGGAGTGCCACAGCCCCCAGAGAACCCGTCCGTGAGCACATGCTCTGTTGAACAGACACTCAGCCCCAGCCCACGGTTGCCAGGCAAGAAACTGGGACCTGTGGTTGCCAGATATCCTGATGTTTTCCTTTTTCCAGAGAGGAGGGAAATCTGGATTTCTATGCAAAATCCCACTATTATGAAATGTTTGTAACAAATTTGAAAAAAATTTAAAAATACTCTGCAGGCCAAAGAAAACCTGTGCACAGGCTGGATTCAATGTAGAGAGCATGGTTTAGAGTTTCTGCTATTGGGGACGCAGGGAAACAGAATGGAAAGACAAAGTCTTACTTGCCAGGCTAAAAAAAATTTGGACTTTTTTTTCTTTCAGAAAACACAGGACCATGGGGAAAATGCCAGGAGCACCCCTTCCGTTTATAATAGCCCCCAAAAGGGGAAATAATGGGAAATCACTTTGTTGGCTATAATTTTTTTTAAAGATTTTATTTATTTATTTGACAGAGAGAGACACAGAGAGAAAGGGAACACAGCAGGGGGAGTGGGAGAGGGAGAAGCAGGCTCCCGGCAGAGCAGGGAGCCTGATGCAGGGCTCGATCCCCAGACCCCGGGATCATGACCTGAGCCGAAGGCAGACACTTAATGACTGAGCCACCCGGGCACCCCTGTTGGCTGTAATTTTTATCATCGTTAAGTTTCCCCTATTTATCTAAGTGGTTTGCCTAAAAACATCAACGTTCCCTATCACTGTGATAATGAACTCTGCTTTGTTTACTTGTGAAGGCATGTCCCTAATCTTAGACAAGTCCCTAATCTTCCTTTAAATGTTTTAGTTTTACGGGTGGCTCTCTGCCTTAATAGCTTCATCAGTAAATGGAAAGGCTGAATTAAGCTAGATAATATTTAAGGTCCCCTCCAGTTCTAACACTCTCAAGAGTCTATGACTCTCTACAGAAGAAATTCAATTAACTCTTAATGGATGTGTACTAAATATGTGATATATATTTTTAAATCTAGCAGTTTTATAGTTTCTAAAGGGCATTCTTAATTTCGCTTACTCTTTTTCAATGACCCTATTATCACCCCCATTTGACAGAGAAGAAACCTGAGGCTCAGGCAGGTTCGGTGCCTCACTCATAACTATACCCAATATCAGTGGCAGAGATGGAGCTCCAACCCACGTTCTAACTTTCTGTTCCACAGTCTGTACCCAACGGGCCTCTGGCACTAGAACCTCAGAGAGAGGACGGAAATAAGAAGGTTAAGTCCCTAAACACTCTTATGGGTGACGGTCTTGGGTTCCCGAGGAGCATTTCATGTATCTTTGGAAGCAGCCTGACATCCCTTCTGAATCCAGGTTGGTGGGGCAGGGGGGTGGGGTGGGAGCATGGGAGAGACCCGTACCTGTCCTTACCTTAGTCATAAGGCAGTCTTCCAAGTCTCCTGCAGTCAAGGATTTCATGGCTTCTTGGCCAGTCCTCAATGGAGCAGCAATGTCTTGGTTTGTCCGTCAGTGGAGGACACTTGCAGGTTGGTTTCCCAAGAATGTTAGTCTCGGTGCTAAATTTCTTTGAGAATGTGTACATGGACCAGAGACAGGCCTTCCCAGTTCTTCCCTCCAGCTCTCATTTCCAAATTGGGAGCATCTGTCTGTCATCTTTAGGGAATTCTTTTTTTAAAAAAAAAAAAGGAATTTCAAAAGGAGAGTTGATGAAATTGAAACTGAATTTGAGTCCAACTTAATTTGACTCGATTTAGCTCTATTGACGGGTGCTTTGACTGAAGGCAATTTTCCCAAGTTGTATTTCAGATACTTAAATCTCAAGATAGAAATGCTCTGTAGTTGGCTTCTTCCCCACCTTTTTATGCTCTTGGCCCAACACTAGATGCACCCTGCAGCCTAGTATCTTATATCTCCTTGTTCTTATCCTGTTGACAGTAAATATTCCTTGCCCTCCAATCCAGAAAATCCCACAGATTGATTTACCTTCTTTACAATAAACAAATAGGGAACTGCCAAACAACCAGCCAGGCACCCGCCATTATGCCTACAAACAAGTGACCTGGGCTCATCAATCAGATCAGGGCACGATAATCTGCATGTGGAAAAGCACACATACACACATACACACAAAGGTGCAAGCAGAGAGAGGCATGCACACATGGACAGGCACACCCAGCAAGAGCAGGAGAGGGACCCTTCTGCTCACCTGCTGACCTTTAAATATAATCTTCCTCTTCCCACTTGAAAGCGGGCAGTAAAAATAAAGTCAGTGTAAACAGGCCCCTTGAGAGTCAAGGAAACACTCTTGTCTGGTTTTGCCAGCAAAACCATGTTGGAAAACAGCTCAGGCAGTAAGTTCCCAGTCTGGCTGGCTGGGGCTAGTTTTATTACAGGAAAAAAAAAAAAAAAAAAAAAAAAAAATTCACAATGGCCTGATCTCCCCGAAGCTGGTAAACATCGGAGACTGCTATCAGATGATCTAAAGAAATTACAGCGCTTCTGGGAGCCCAGCTCACTTCTGAGCAATGCTCTGAACAAATGTCTTTCCAAACCCACCTCTGAGAGCTCAGCAGCCATGCTGGGTGCGGGGGCTACTCCGCTTTGGGTAGCCAGTGTATTTGCATATCTCCACCCTCTGCCCTATCTGAAAGCCACAGCTGAGCCACACCAGAGCAACCTGCTCCACCCACCTCATTAATCCAGCCTTCACGCCAGCTTCTATAGATCTCTTCTGTGAAATATTGTAGTCAATTGAAATATTCTATGTAAATATTGCAAAGCTACCCTTCCTCAAAACTGCCTTGATTTTCCATTTTCTTCTATTTGTAATTCAAAGTCTCCTTCGTTTGATATCAGATGCTCCCGAATATTTCAGAATCTTCTCTTGGCTTACCACTGGTCAGTCATTCCGAACTTGGTTTTTCACAAACAGAACATGAGCCCGCCTCTTGGAATTTCCTACAATTCAGAATCCCCTCTCTGCCTCATTTTCAACTTCACCAAAGTCCTCCTGGTTTCTCACATGAGCTCTCGTTTTTTTGTCCTTACTTCTACTGCACTGTAATCATTAACTTGGGATTCCCGGTCTTCTGGTGGGGCCTTTCCTACAGTTCTCAGCTTCCCCCAGAAGCCGTCATCAGATGCCCAAACTTGCATCATTCTGTGCCTGGGGCTGCCCTTCCTCCATTGCCCCAGCACAGCTGCTGATCAGGATGTTGAAACTGCAGTTCTTCTCTCACTAGGGCTCAGTGATGCTTCCCGGATGTGAACAGGGAGAACGACCAGCAGGCCAGTTGTAGAGCCTGGGAGAAGGAAGAAATCTATGCTCAGGGTGGCTTACTACATTGTAATTTTACCTGGATGCCATACCTGGCAAACAGAAGGTTATATAAACCCAACCAGTTCCTGACTCCCTGATAGAGTTCTTCATGGGCAAAGGTTCCAATATATAGGGTGGTTCCACAGTGCAGGCCCTCTGACAGATTGGCAAAGAAGACCTTTCTTTGTAGATACAGATCTCTGGCTAAGTGGCTTTTGGATTAGCAAATATTTATTGAGCAACAGTCTGCCTAAGGCACTATGTTGGGCCACAGAGAGGGATTCAAAGTTAACTCAGATTCTCCTCCTTTCTCCTCCTTTCTGGGGAAATAAATATCCTCCTTTCTCATGACTCATACCAAACGCCAGTATGAACGTGGAAACCAGCTTTGGCTCAATTTCTATTGTGAGGACCAAGAAGTTATTTTTTTAAAGTTAGTCTAGCAAGGTATTCGAAACCCTAAACCAACAATATGAAAGTCCTAGGAAGATAATGTCACCCCTGACTCACCAACAGAGGTGTTTGCTATTGACTTACCTAACGGCTGCAATTTTCATTCCCAGGAGAAGGGTTGGCTTGATACAAATCAACCTTAAATACACAAATATGTTAAAGTTCACCAAGGTCACAAACTCTGACATATTTTTCAAAAATTTCCTTTAGTTCTAGGGTGACTCAAAGCTGACAGCTCCAAGGACCAGAGACAATTGTCCATGCTGTGAGGAAGTCCCCAGCAGTGAAGGCAGTGACCCTGTCTGTTCAGCATCCCCACTGTAGTCCAGTACCTCACACATAATTGACCCTCAGTAGTGACGAATTTGACGGCATTATACATGAAAGTGACATTCTCATATATAGGATATTTGGAGATGCATCAGATCACTTTATAAATTATAAGTTTAATTTCATACATGCACCTGTGACCTTTTAAATGACTATCATCTTTTATAGAGAGGCCTATTATAAAAGAACTTAGCATAGTACCTGGCACATGATAGGATCTCATATAATGATAGGATCTCAATAAATACTTGTTTTCATATTCCATTTTCCTCCCTGGGGAGGGGAACCCTCCTTTTAATGTATGTGAGTAACTGTCCTGGTCTTATCTCAGGGGTAAGATCTTTCATTGGGTTGGTCTTCAGAGTCCCATCAGAAAGCTGGTCTCCTTTCCTGTCATACCAGAAATGGCAAGCAAGATAGTCGGAGCTTGATCTTTATCTAGGTTCAGAGGTAGAAGGTCCCAAACTCAAACACCTACATGGGTTGGGCAGATAATAAAATAAATCAGGATAGAGTAGAACAATGGAACGGGGTGGGGCCAATGGTGGACTCAAGAATATATTCCCTATCTAGGGAGGATATTCTAGGGTGTGTGTGTGTGTGTGTGTGTGTGTGTGTGTGTGTGTGTGTGTAAATAATACTGTACAATCAAATACTGGACAATAAAAAACCTACCTCTGCACTCTATACTCCTGTAATACTAATATCATTGCAGTCCTCTGAAAAATCATTGACATCTTCTCTGGAATTTACATAGGCAATGCTCTCTGCTTGGGTACTCTCCCCTACCTCCTTCCCCCTTCACTAGGCTAGCTCATATACAGACCTTCTCTAATTCTCAAGGCTGAATAGGGGACTCTATGTAGTGCTCCTAGACCACTTGCAGGTTTACTTGTATCTATCACCTGTTGTACTGTGTGCTCCTCGAAGGCAAAGTACTTGACACAGAGTAGGTACTCAATAAATATCTGCAGAATGAATCAATGAATAAACAAATGAATATATGAGGGTGGCCCCTTTTCTCATTCTTCAGTCTAATCCCATCCTACCTAGAGGCATAAGATAAAGTGAGAAAAGTAAAAGGTAAATAATGAATAAATGCTCATTCATTCACTTTGGGAGCACCATTAAGAATAGTAGAAGGGGAATCAGATAATGTCCCTTTAAAAAAAAAAAAAAGATTTTATTTATTAGTCCGAGAGAGACAGAGACAGAGCACAAGCAGGGAGAGCGGCAGGCTGAGGGAGAAGAAGGCTCCCTGCTGAGCAGGACTTGATCCCAGGACCCTGGGATCATGACCTAAGCCAAAGGCAAACACTTAACTGACCGAGCCACCCAGGCGTGCCCAGATAAGGTCCGTTTTGAAAGCTGAGTTCAACTCAGAAAGAGCAGAGAAACAGGATAAGATAATGTGTGCATGTGAAAGAAGCCACTCTTCATAGCCTAAAACTGTCAGGACTGCTGAAAAACTGCCCAATAATTAGAAGATGCCATGTGGATCCTGGAATCCAAACACCCATGTGTCTTTGTAAAAGTAATGGCTCCATCTGGCCATGTCAATAAACAGTACATTATTTCTTAGCAGCAATTATTATCCTAATACACCCAGAAAGAGGAGAAGTCCTCCAACACCAGCCTGAAGGGAGAAAACATATGTTTATTTAACACCAATGACTCTATACCACTGGTATCACCCGTGATCAAAAGAAATAATGAGAAATAACTAGTGCTAGCAACCCCAGCTTTCTATGCAGCAAAGACAACCTATTTTAATTACCAAATAGTATATATCAAATGATCCCAGTTTGGGCTAGGGGAAAGGAAAGGAGACTAGCTAGAAATGTTTCCATCTTCTCTGTGTCCACCCATCTATATTCCTGTGCACTGAAATGTCATTCTGGATTTTCCTCATTCAAAGGGCCCATGCTGAAGGGCAACCCAGAAACTTCTTTTTAACAGAGACCAGTTGTTGATATAATAAAACTCCTGCTATAGATTAGATGACAATTTATTTTTAAATTAAATCATAAGTGATGTTTCCATTTTTGTATCTCCCTGCCTGGGAAGCAGAGTTAGTTGTATTTTCATCTGAAACTTTTCCTTAAGTCAGGGTACAGCTTCTTCCCTCTGTGCTGAGTTCTGTGAGCCTGGCATATTTTTCAGTCGACACCACGAAGAACACACTGAGAGTGAGGAAAGTGTTTAAGGAAGAAGACATTTAGTTTTATTAACTGGTTAGGCCATGAAGTTACCTGGTAACTTTATTGATCTATTCAGCTCAGTTTCCATCAGTCTGAGCTAGAAGGGGGCAGGACATAGGTGACAGAGGGAATCAATCGCTGCTAGTTCCTGGGCCCACAGGGGACTGCTTTCTCCCCCATCCACCCTCTATTGTTCATGACACATGACAAATATTTCTGGTTTTTTATTATTATCGTTTTTTAGTTAAAAGAGAGCCAGATAGAAGATACAGACACAGAGATCAATGGAACAAAATAGAAACTCCAGAAACAGACTTACACAAATACAGCCATTTGATCTTTGACAAAGCATAAACAGTTTGGTGGAGGAAAGATAGTCTTTTCAACGAATGGGTATTGGAACAATAAGTCATCCACAAGGAAAGAAAGAAACCTTAATATAAAGCTCACACCTTACATAAAGATTAACTCAAAATAGATCATAGGTCTAAATGAAAAACATAAAACAAGGTTTTAGAAGAAACACAGGATAAATCCTTGTGACTGTGGTTAGGCAGAGAGGTCTTAAAAATAAAACCAAACAGAAGATTCATAAAAATAAACTGAACTGATAAACTGGACTTCATCAAACTTAAAAACTTTTGTTCTTCCAAAGATACTGTTGTGAATATGAAGAGACGAGCTATGGACTAGGAGAATATATCAGAAAACTACGTACTCCACAATAGACTTGTATCCAGAATATACAAAGAACTCTCAAACTCAACAGCGAGAAACAAATAACACAATTAAAATATGGGAAAAGAACTGTAATTGACACTTCACCAAAGAGGATATAAGAATGGCAAATAAGCACATAGAAAGATAATCAAAATCATTAACAATTAGAAGAATGCAAATTAAAAACATGATAAGATGCCATTACTTACATACTTATTTGAATGGCGAAAATACGGACAATACCAAGTGCTGACAAGTACACGGGGCAACTAGAACACTATACACTTCTGCTGGGAATGTGAAATGGTACAACTACTCTGGAAAAGGACATGGTGATTTCTCATAAAGTTAAGTATAAATTTGACCCCCAACAATCCCACTGCGAGGTTTACAGCCTAAGGAAATGAAAACTTGGTTTATATAAAAACCTGTACGTGAACATTTGCGGCAGCTTTATTTGTGATAGGCAAAAGCTGCACATCCCCCCAAAACTCTTCAACAGGTGAATGGATGAATAAACTGTGAAACTTGCACACCAGACTACTATGCAACAACAAAGAGCAACAAACTACTGATAAACACAACATGGGTGAATCTTAAATACACCATGCTGAGCAAAAGAACCAAGGTCAAAAGGTTACATACCATGGTTCCATTTATTTGGCATTATGAAAAATTCTCAAAAAAGATCAAGCTATAATTGTGGAGAACAGATCAGTGGTTGCCAGGGTGTTTGGGGTGAGGTGAGGATGTGACTACAGGCCGATAGCTGGGGGAACTTTTGGGTTGGTGGAAATGTTCTGTATCCCAATTTTGGCAGGGTTTTCTTGAATCTATATATGTGTCAAAATTCATAGAACTTTTCATTAAAAAAGTGTTACCATAGATAATTTTTAAATTACAGACACCCAATACTATTGATTATAATGAAAATAAAATCAAGTTACCAGATTCTTCATAATATATTCTGTGTTATTTTATGGAAAAAATATAAGTATTGTGTAAGGTAACCAAATAGTGCCTTTCTTTAAAAAGACTTTTTTAAGAGCATTTTCAGGTTCACGGAAAAACTGAGAGGAAGGTACAGAAATTTCCTATATATCCCTTTCCCCAACACATGCACAGCCTCCCCCATTACCAATACCTGCCACCAGAGTAGTACATTTGTGCAGCTGATGAACCTCATTATCCCCCAAAGTCCATAGTTTATATTGTTTCACTCTTGGTGTTGTACCTTCAGTATTGTTGGATTTGACTTGCTACTTTTTGAATTTTTTAGTTGTTGACCTAGGGTTTGCAACGTACACTTACAACTAATCCAAGTCTACTTTCAAATAACACTATGCCGTTTTAAAGGTGGTATGAATACCTTATAATACGAAAATAAGCTTAACTCCCTCCTTCCATCCATCTATCCCTGGTGTCGTTGCTATCATTCATTTTACTTGTGTATAAGAATATTTAGGAAGTGGGGCGCCTGGGCGGCTCAGTCGTTAGGCATCTGCCTTCAGCTCGGGTCATGATCCCAGGGTCCTGAGATTGGGCCCCTCATCGGGCTCCCTGCTCGGCGGGGAGCCTGCTTCTCCCTCTCCGCCTCCCCCTTCTCTCTCTCCCTGTCTCTTTCTCTCTCTGTCAAAATAAATAAAATCTTTAAAAAAAAAAAAGATTTAAGTAGTACATATACATAGAATATACATAAGCACACATAATTGAATACGATTAACAATTGAACACTTGAACAATTGAATAATTGTTTGGGGGTTTTTTTGGTTTTGTTTTTTTAAAGATTTTATTTATTTATTTGAGAGAGAGAGAGAGAGCAGGGGAGGGACAGAGAGTGAGAGAGAAGCAGACTCTCCTTCAAGCAGGGAGCCCGACATGGGGCTTGATCCCAGGA